AAATTCGCTCAGTCGGGCAGAAAAATTCACGTGGCCGCTTTAAGTGTACGGTGTCTGGGCAAAAATGATCCACGAGAGACCGCAGATAACTGTCGTTTCGCGCAGATAACGTATAATCCAGCCGGACGACGCTCATAATGCCACGGTTTCTCCTCCTTTCTCTTGTTACGCTCCACATTTCCTCTTCTTTCCTTTTCTCTTTATTGCTCAAGTCGGCGCTGATAGCGCGTGCGTGGAATAATTAAATACAATTATTGCACGACTATTTTGCACGACTATGTCATATTTGCGTCGCTTTATATTTCGTCATGGGTTTTCTCTTCTTCTCCCTTTATTGCTTAAGTCAAGGCTGATAGCACTCATATGTGGAATAATTAGATATAATTATTGCACAACGACTATTTTGTCAACTTTGTCGAGTTTGCACTTTACACTTCTTTTTCCTTTCTTTTCGCTGTACTGCAACTCAGCGCGCTGATAACGCGCGTGTATGTGGAATAACTACACTGAAAGATAAACTATCTGAAAACTAGTAAATATTTATTCAGTGAGTACTAACAGCATATGTACTTAAATTAGAACATTGGCAAGTATTCTAAATTCCTTTAGTTGAATCGAATAAATAATTGCTTTTATGAGAAAACTGAGTGTTTCTTAAGATTTTAGGAAAATATACATTTTCTTATTTAAAACATATTTTATATTAACAAATAGGCACGCTGTTAGTATTCATCGAATAAATGTTTGCCAATTTTTAGCTGTTTCTTCTTTCAGAGAGTGTATATGATTATTGCACGACGACCATCTTGCCGACTATGTTGAATTTGCGTCGCTACATCCGCCGGGTTTTTCGACTACCAGAGCAAACAAAAGTTCCGTTCCGTAACAAGGCTGAGGCCCGGGGAAAAAATTAATCGATTTCTCGGCGGAAAACGTATCGCATCGTATCGTATCGTACGCGAATCGCCGATCAACGGCCCGTGCAACCGTCGCGTCCCTCCGTCCTGCCGTTTCTTCATCTCGTTTTCTGCGGATGGCGTCCGTAAGAGCGTCGCGCCCGCGGGGATCCAGGGTAGGTTCGATTGGTTCGTGCCGGTGCGTCGGTCGTGAGGATTGGCGAGAACCGGATCGGCTCTCTCGGGCCCTCGGGCGACGAGGAGGACGATCGGAGGCTGACTTACCGAGGTAAGTATCGGGCTATCTCGCGCTCTCGGCACGGTCAACTAGTCGCCGCGATCTCGGGGGACCGGCGGACCAGCGGGATAATCTCGCGAACTGCACCGAGAGGCTGCATGCGCCTATGCAGCGTGAGTGCGCGTCTCAAGCCGCGGACTAAAGTTTCCCGGCCGAGTCGGGACGCTCGCGAGAGCGTCGCTGCACACCGAGGCGTCTCGCCATTTGAATATTCTCCTGCGCTCAGCTCGGATCTAATAGCGCCCTCGATAGAGAGATTAGTCGACGGTGTAGCGTGACGTCGATATCGGGTTGGCAGTTGCACCTGACGCTGCGGTGCGTTCATCATCGCTGGGACAATTCATCAGGAATCGACGTGCAAACTTGTTATGGAGTATTCGTTTCAACGTTATCTACGCGAACGCTTTTCCGCGAGGGGATCTCTCCACTCTTGTGAGTCCCAAAACAGAATGATCGACGGGATAATTCAACGGGTACCAACGTGCAAACATGTGATTAAATATCATGTGATTAATACAGTTTATTAATACGTTTGATTAATATAGTTTTAATGTTATCTGTATGAATAATTTTACTATGAGGGTATTTCTTTCTCTCTCACTCTTCCCCCTCTCTCTCTTTCTCTCTCTTCACGTTTCCGAGTCTTAAAACAAGTTGAGCAGCGGGGTAGTTCATCGGAGACCAACGTGCAAATTTGTTATGGTTATATCCATTTCAATGTTACCTGCACGACCACTTCTCCACGAGGGGATTTCTTCATTTTTGTGGGTCCCAAAAAAAACTCATCGACGAGAGATATCCATTTCAACGTCATCTACACGCATAATTTTGCTAGTAGTGAGGGTATTCCTTTACATTTCTTAAAGCAAATTGACCAGCGGGAAAATCTATTGGGGAGCCGTGTGCAAACTTATTGAACAAATATCCATTTCAATGTTACCTGCTTGTCTTCTCCAGGAGGATGTTTTTTCACGTTTGTATGACTTATGTCGTGTTCAGTTTGACAATTCTCATTGCGAGGCAATCGAAAAAGTGCGTTCTACCAGATTTGCTGGTGGTAATCGAGTATCCGACAAATCGTCGTTCTCCGGCGCGCTCGCAGTGTTAACATCGCCACCAGTTGAGCAAATCGATTGGGAGGATGCGGTTTGTTACCGAGATCGTTGCGGATGCTTGTTACCTAGTTATGGATTGAGAGACGCGATAGTCGGGTCCCGACGTAAGGCACATAAATCAAGTGACTGAATACGACCGAATACGACCGAGTACATATGCTGTGTGGACGTCGACAGCTACCGCTTTCCTACTCGTTCTCTTCTCGAAAATCTCGCGTCAAGGTGACTGCGTATTAAGATGTCTCATTAAGTAATCCCGCCATTGAAGTTCTAACGGCACCTCGAGCACCCAATTTTTTCGCTCGCTTTCATCGATGATGCGTACACGTGTGTTTCGCGACCGTTCTGCCGTGGACGGCGAAGGATCGCGTCTTTACAGTTACTTCTCTAGAAAGTCCGCCCCGGAATATCGGCTGGTTGAATCAGCCGAGGTGTTAAATCGAATTCCGCGCTATCTACGACAGGTACAAGAGCGAAGCGGCCGGCGGCATTCGTATCGGTTCCTCTCCTCGGTTCATGCACTCGCCCAGATACCGAACTGAAATTATCCGCGGCACTTCGAAGCACCTCCGTTGCACGAGTCGAATCCGGCTTTATCAAGCACGAGGTACCAAAATCGCCGGCGCGAGCGTGGGTGGAAATGAGAGAGTCATTCGCGTTTATTTCGCGAACAACTCTCGGACGCTCGCCGCAGCTCAGTGAATTTTATAAGTGACCACCCGGAAATTCGTTTCGAATTATGTACCACTCGGTTCAATGTCTGTATCTTTTACTTCTCTTCTTGTTTTTTTTTCTTTTTACGAGCGTTTATATCGTGGAGGCTTCAGACCTGGAATAAACGCAAGGGATAATAAAAACGTGTAAAAACTTGAACAGCACGTAGATAAAGATCGCCGTCTTTCGTTTCTCCGAGCGTGACTGCACAGGACGTCGCATTCCCGCATAGTAAACTCGCCATTATTAGCCAAAGTTGGGTGTCAAGGACACATGGGTGAAAACGACCCCGCGTTCAAGTCTATTCCTTAAAAGAAGAGAGAAGGATCGCGTTAGATTAATTGTAATACAATCGGTTGGAAACGTTTCAAATACAATAAAGTTGGGAACTCATCAAACTGTCAAAATTGGGCCATTATCGACAGGCTTATTCGATAATAATGTAATTAACAACATCATTAAAAACACTAAATAATAATAAATAATAATAATATTAATGAGTAATTAGTATCAATAATATTTAATAATATAACTATAACTAAGCAACCCTATTTTTTTTTACAATGATTACTTTCAATCGTGACAATCTGGTGAGCTTCCAACTTCATCGTGTCTGAACCGTTTTGCAATCCATTGTGCACCAATTAATATTTTGCCTGGCATACTGTTCTCCATTGATTACATTTCAATACTCAACTCAAGTTAGGATTACCAAAGATGTGACAAGAAATACAATTCGCGACGCGTATATTCCTTAGCTCTCTATTGGCTAAATATCTAATTTATTGCAGATGGTTGATTGTGTTTTACATGTGAATTAGTGAAAGGTGACGATATTATAATGCCGGCCCACTATGGCAGCCAACTATCCGCCAGCTATTCGAGAATTAACGAAATCCACCTCTGTACATTCTGATCGAAGGAATTTTTACGAGCTCGTTTTTACGGCCTCCTCGCTCTCGTTCTTGATACGCGCGGTTCCGTTGCTCGCAGTTTCTCAAGATCGCGCGCGGAAGTCGAGCGTTCGAGAAGTGATACACGCTCGCGGCAATGAGCATGCATGAGAGGTCAACGAATCTCACGTATGTTCGCCACCTCGCGCTGGCAACGGCCGGAAATAGTTTGTTTCCCACGTTTTGTGCCGACCACGGCCAGGGAAGGTCGTACCTCAGCGAGGGGAAGCCTCGCGCGCCTCGAAAACTGCAGTATGCGCCGGCAATTATGGTGCCTCCGCTGCGGGACTGCAACGAGAGCAATTAAATCGACAAGAGCAGAGTAAGGCGAAAGAACAAGACTCTGTCGTCCTCACGTCCTTATACACTCGGGCTCGTCCTCATAGACCCGACCTGCCTTCTGCGTGGAGTTAAACGTTGCCGAGGCAAGAAAAAATTCGCGCGACAGATCACTTCCAGTCGCGATGTCACTCCTCGCGATCACCCTTGTCCTTCGCTTCTCTCACTTGCGATATTTTTGTATCTCCAGGGAATCGAAAAAAGCTGCCACGGCCACTTTTGAAGTGTGACAATTGATAGTCTTCAACTACTTCCCGGTCGTTTTATTGTCAATAAAAATTCAAATTGATTCCACAATAACTTCAGGCAATCTGAACATCGATCAATCTCTCTAATGAAGTATGAAGATTGTCTCCAATTACTTCCCGATCGTTTTTTTTTTTTTAATAAAAATGCAAATTAATTCCGCAATAATTTCAAGTAAGCTGAAGATCGATCAATCTCTTTAATGAAGTGTGAAGATTGTTTCCACCTACTTCTCCTGCGACCGCGTTCTACTTTACATAAAAATTCAAATTAATTTCACAATAACGTCAAGTAATCTGAAAGTCAATCGATCTCTCTAACAAAGTATGAAGATCACTTACATCTGCTTCTTGGTCATTTTATTTGAGATAAGAATTAGAGATAAATATATCCCTCTCTCCCTCTCTTTCTCTCTAAGAACCGATCGGTCTTCTTCCAGATGGATCGTGACGTCATGAATCCTTAAGTCCGCGAAAGATCCACGAGGACAGCAATGACCATGGGACACTCGTCGGGAAGAGAACAGCACGGACTGCAGGATCGCGCGGATTAACTATCCGAAGAGAGACCATGGCGAGGTGGAGATGGGTTCTGCTGATCCTGGCCACCGTCTGGACACTAAGCCATGGATATTTGGCGGTGCTGTCGTCCAACACGCCCGCCGGCACCGTTATCTTCGAGGCCGGGGTGCCGCAGTTGGGTGGCCGTCGCAAGTATGAGGCGTCCAGCGAGCGCACCGCCTGGTTCGCCAGGAAACTTCTCAAGGTCCATCCGCACACGGGCCGTGTGACTTTAGCGAAGAGTCTCAACTGCGACGGTCTCCAGTACCCGCGCATCTTCACCTTCTACGTCGACTCGACGAGCTCGAGGCTCGGTAGACCCACTATCGACTACTACAGCCTGCCTCTGAGGATCTTAATCACCGGATGTGGCAATGAGAACCGCGACTTGGCAGCCACTAGAGGCTGGATGGCGGAGACGTTGGCTTCTTATGCGATGCCGAGCACTGACAGGTTAGTGCGTGTTGGGGTTTCTTATGTAAATAAAGTAACACTCTTGTTTATTAAAAATTAAAATAAAACAGTCTAGTAAAAAATACGCTATGAAAGAGACTTTCCTGAGAAAAGCTTAATGGTCAGGATAGTCGTACAAATATCTATAAAATAAATTGAAGTTTAAATGAATCTTCTCTTTGATCATTTTCGCAGTTTATTGTTATATAGTAATATAATTTATTGAGGAATTGTCGGAAACATACCTCAATAATATATTCTACTCCACAAAGTATCAACTCATCTAAAGATGCGTCTATCTCGACAGGTTCACCGAGGTATGCCTGCGAACGTCTCAGCTGGTAGCAGCTCTTCGCGACTTCCTGCCTCAAACAGCTCTAAAAGAATGCGAGACCAGATGGGGAGGCGTAGCGGATCCCAGATTTCTCGTGGAAGGCGCCGCCGGAGACCTGGTTTCCGCCAGCGAACAATGCCTGGTGGATCCACTGTGGAAGGTCTCAGTCAGCATGAACCTGCGTTGCGCCGGAGACTCGCGTCTGACCGACGCCGAGCATCGCTTGAAGATCGTGTTCCATCACCGTCAGCTGGACGACACCGACCTGGGCAGAAGAGTGAGACGAGAACTGAAGAACCAGTCGCCCTATTTCGAACAACCCCTCTACGTCGCCGCAGTGGAGGAGGAGAAGGAGCCGGGAGTATACGTGACCTCTGTAAGAGCGAGAGATCCTGAAAACGGTGCCGTCCGGTACTCCATGAGTTCGTTGATAGACGCGAGGTCGCAGGCATTGTTGGCTCTCGACCCGGTCACCGGAAGAGTGACGACTCGCGCGAGGCTCGACAGAGAGAACGTGGATGTGCATTATTTTCGGGTGTGTATCAAAACTTTGAAGCGAAAAAGTAAATAATTCTACACGAAGAGTTATAATAAAAATTTCTATAGAATTTTGTAAACGAGATCGACTACAGCAATTCATTGTTTTTTCATTTCACACGTGCTACTTATATTTTAGTGAACTGAAATGTGCTATTAAAATACTCGCTATGTTTTTAGCGAAATTAACTATGTTCCTTAGCAAGGTAGATCTTTTACTGACAATCTATTTTTAGACGCTTTACTAGGTTAAAAACAGTAAAAATGAAAAAAATTTATATGAAAAAATATAATATCTGTATAATAAAAAATATTATTCGAGATATTATTCTACTTTGATAATGAAATTCTTCTTGAAAGAACAAATTCAACAAAGTTAAACAAATTTAATTTATACCACAGGTACTGGCAGTAGACGACTCGTTTCCTCCGCGCACCGGCACGACGACTCTTCAAGTTAACGTGTTAGACGCGAATGATCATGCGCCAAACTTCGAATGGCCCGAGTACGACGCGTCGGTGCGTGAAGGCGTTCCCGTAGGCTCCACGGTGATCACGGTCAAGGCCACAGATCAAGACACCGGTAGGAACGCTGAGGTGGAGTACTCCATCGTGTCCACTACGATAGGCAGTAACACCATGCATGTCGAAGACGCGGCGGTTTTCAGGATCGACCCCAGGTTAGCATCAGTTTAACGGCTTGAACGACGATGGAGTCTGATTTAAGAGAGCTCACGTGCGTGTACTATGACTCATTCGATTATTTCCAGATCTGGTGTGGTGACAACGAGAACGGCGCTCGACCGCGAACAAACTGAGATCTACACGGTCGTGCTGAGCGTCACGGATCAGGCGACGCCGCCATCCGCGCGACGAAGCGCGAACGCGACCCTGGTAGTGCGCGTGTTGGATGACAATGACAACTACCCGCAGTTCACCGAGCGCACGTACTCAGCGGCGGTGCCAGAGGACTTGGATTACACAACGAATCCGGTAGTGGCTCGCATTCGGGCTGCGGACGCGGATGCCGGCGCCAACGCGGCAGTCCGTTACGCCATCATCGGCGGTAATACGCAGAACACCTTCTCTATCGACTCGATGAGCGGCGACGTTGCTCTGGTGAAGCCGCTCGATTACGAGTCCACCAGGAGCTATAAAATCGTCATACGTGCTCAAGACGGCGGCTCGCCGGCTCGCTCAAACACCACTCAATTGCTTGTGATGGTCAGGGACGTGAACGACAACGCACCCAGGTTCTACACTAGTCACTTCCAGGAGTCGGTGTCGGAGAATGTGCCCTTGAGCTACTCGGTGCTGAGGGTGCAGGCTTACGACGCCGATGAAGGTAACAACGCGCTCATCAGATACACCATCGGTGCACGTGATTTCACTGGAGCCTCCACGGAGAATTTCCCGATTACGGTGAACACAGAAACCGGCTGGATCTACACGACGAAGCAGTTGGATCGTGAACAATGCTCAAGGTATCGATCTACACTTCTCTGGTTAATCGTCAAATCTTTGCACAGAGTGGAGCAATAAGGATACTTCAACTGCCTAAAGTCTGAAAACACATCTAGACTATTGAGATCTATCTTGTAAAATCAGAAAAATCGTGACTTTTGCTTCTATTACAGATATCAGTTCACCGTGATTGCGGCGGACTCCGGCGAGGAGCCAAAGTCCGCGAGCGCCACGGTAATCCTCACGGTGACTGACGTAAACGACAACGATCCTTACTTCGAGCCAAAGAGCTACGAGGCCGTCGTATCCGAAGACGATCCACCGGGCACACCGGTCACCTCAGTAACAGCCACCGATCCCGACGAGGATGCCAGGATCCACTACGAGATCACAGGTGGCAATACGCGCGGACGGTTCTCCATCGCATCGCAAAACGGCCGCGGTCTCATCACGGTCGCTCAGCCGCTCGACTACAAGCAGGAGAAGCGTTTCGTGCTGACAGTGACAGCGTCCGACAGCGGAGGCCGCACCGACACCGCCCTGGTCTACGTTAATGTGTCGGATGCCAACAACTTCTCGCCAGTATTCGAGAACGCACCCTACTCCGTCTCAGTCTTCGAGGACGCGCCGGTCGGCGTCACCGTGTTAGTGGTTAGCGCTACCGACTCCGACGTCGGCAAAAACGCCCAGATCACCTACAGCTTGGCCACCGATAGCGGCGAGCAGGCGATTAGCGAGTTTACCATCAATCCGCAGACCGGTGCAATCACCACAACTCGACCGCTCGATCGTGAACTGGTACCTTCATACTTGTTGACGGTGACAGCCAGGGACGGTGGCGTGCCGCCGTTGTCCGACACGACTGACGTGGAAATCTCCGTCACAGATGTGAACGACAACGCGCCGGTTTTCGAGGCACCACAATATCAAGGTTCGATCCCTGAGGACGTCTTGGTGGGCACCAGCGTGTTGAGAGTCGCGGCAACCGACGCGGATACTGACTTAAATGGCCGAGTAAGTGCAGTTCTCTTGGAAACGAAGCCAAAATAATTAATTTGATTAACTGATAATAATTAATCTAATGTTTACATAATTTAATGATTATATATTAATACAACAATTAAATTAACGGTCAATTTAGCAGTTAATTATTTAATTTGCATTGGCTTATAATATAACAAATTCGTTGATTAATTTATAAATTGACTCTATCTATTAATTGTTCTTTGTATGATTTCTTTTCGAGAATCCTAATAAGAATTTCTGTAGGTGAGATACGCTCTGGAAGACGACGGTGACGGCGCGTTCGCGATTGATTCAACAACAGGCATCGTCAGAACTGCGAAATCATTGGATCGAGAATCAGTAGCGCGTTATTCCCTGAAGGCTGTCGCCATAGACCGCGGTTCTCCCGCGCTTTCGTCTGTCGTTCCCGTCGTCATCAAGATCGAGGACATCAACGACTCGCCGCCCGCCTTCGAGAACGACAAGATCGTCCTCTACATCGCCGAGAACTCGCCGATCGGCTCGACCGTCGGCGAGATCTACGCCCATGACCCCGACGAAGGTCCCAACGCTGTGGTGCAATACTCCATCATCGGCGGCGAGGACTCCAATAGCTTCGCCTTGAACATCAGGCAAGGCGCCGACCGGGCGGAGTTGATTACCCTGGAGGAGCTTGATTACGAGTCGCCGAAGAAGAGATTCGAGCTGGTGGTGCGCGCGGCATCGCCGCCGCTGCGGTCGGACGCTCTGGTACAGATTCTGGTGACCGATGTAAATGACAACGCACCGGTGCTGAAAGATTTCCAGATCATCTTCAACAACTTCAAAGACTTTTTCCCAACCGCGCCGATCGGCCGGATACCGGCGATGGACGCCGACGTGACGGATAACCTCGTATACAGCATCCTCGCCGGCAACAACGCGAATCTGATCGACCTCAACAAAACCTCCGGTGAGATCCGACTGTCTCCACAATTGAATACGAACGTGCCACGAGTGGCGACTATGGAAGTGTCTGTGACCGACGGTATCAACGAAGCGAAGGCCACGATGACGTTGTCAGTGCGACTAATAACCGATGAGATGCTGTTGAACTCGATTACCGTGAGATTGGACGACATGACAGTAGAGGCGTTCCTCAGCCCTCTTCTAGGATACTTCCTAGACGGGCTGGAGGCGATCATTCCTTGCCCACGCGAGAATATCTTTCTCTTCAGTATCCAGGAGGACGCGAATGTGCATGGCAAGATCTTGAACGTGAGCTTCTCAGCGCGGAAAGTGGAACCAGGCACGGTCGACGAGTTCTACAGTCCGCAGTTTCTTCAGGAACGAGTCTACTTGAACCGCGGTATCCTCGCGAGACTGGCTACAGTCACCGTCTTACCTTTCGACGACAATCTGTGCGTACGAGAGCCCTGCTTGAACTTCGAAGAGTGTCTGACGGTGTTGAAGTTCGGCAACGCATCCGGCTTTGCCAGTAGCGACACTGTACTCTTCCGACCCATTTATCCGGTTACCACATTCGCCTGTAGATGCGCCCGCGGTTTCACCGGTAGCCGCGAAGCCTATCTCTGCGATACTGAGGTAAACCTATGTTACTCCAATCCATGCGCGAACGGTGGCACCTGTCGCAGGCGAGAAGGCGGATATTCGTGCACTTGCCTGCCAGATTTTACCGGTGAGAACTGTGAGATCTCGTTGGATCGTGACGGCTGCTCTCCCGGCATCTGCAAGGGTGGTTCGCAGTGCACTATGAAGAACTCCGGTGGATTCACTTGCGAGGGTTGTCCTGTGGCCGCATTGGACAGCGTGACACTTCTTTGCGAATTGAGAGCGCGCAGTTTCGGCCCGGCAACGTTTCTCACCTTCGCCTCTCTGAGACAACGTCATCGTCTTCACATCAGGTTGAAGTTCGCCACCGAATTGGCTGATGGGCTGTTACTCTACAATGGCAGATACAACGAACGCCATGACTTCATCGCCTTGGAAATTGTAGACTCACAGGTGCAATTCAGCTTCTCCCTCGGAGACGAAGTGACCCGAGCCACGGCGAGCACGCCTGGTGGAGTTTCAGACGGTCGATGGCATGAGGTGGAAGTTTCCTACATCAATAGAACAGTGACAGTCTCTTTGAATGACTGCGATGTGGCGCTCGCTTTGGAACACGGAGAGAAGTTGGGACCAAGATGGGCCTGCGCAGGCAGGAACGAAAGAATTCTAGAGGAGCGCTGCGGACTCGTTACCGAGACCTGTCACAGATTTCTGGATCTGACGGGACCGTTGCAATTAGGTGGTCTGCCATCGATTCCGTCCAGTTTTCAAATCAGAAACAAGGACTACGTCGGATGCATTAGCGATCTCTATATTGATCACGTGTTCGTTGATCTGAATTCTTTCGTGGCCGACAACGGAACCAACGCTGGCTGCCCCGAGAAGACCGCTTTCTGCGCTTCGTCACCTTGCAGGTAACGATGAACACTGAACTGACATCTCTGCGAGATTGAAGAATTGAATCGAGTCAAAGAAAAATTGAGATTAATTAAAATTAAACTTAAAATTAAATTATTAAAATAACACAATCAAAACAATTAAAATTGTCTACACAAATAAAAATTAAAATCTATCGTATCACTTGATTATCGTGAGATGTTTGAACGATTACTTTATGTACAGGAACAACGGTAAGTGTCGTGAAGTCTGGTCCGGCTTCGTGTGCGAGTGCGAGGCCGACTTCGCCGGACCCACGTGTTCCGAGGAGGTCGGCATACCATGGAGTTTCCACGGCGACGGTATGCTCAGCTTCAACCCACTACTACGACCCATTCAACTACCTTGGCTGACCGCAATCAGTTTACGAACACGAGCGCGACAGGCATACGTCATGAGCGTGCAAATCGGCCAAAACAGCTCAGTTTTATTGGAGATTCGGGAGAGCAAACTGGTAGCCTCGCTGGACGGCACCGATGTCATTCGTACCGTGACTATCATCGCTGACGGCGAATGGCATCGATTGGAGATTGTCTGGCAAAGCGGTCACGTTTCCGTGGACACGGATTACCGCGATCGACCCATCATCTTGCCGCTACCAGCCAAATTGCAAGGTCTTTACATCGGCAAGATTCTCGTCGGTGGCCCCGATCAGGCAATTAACACCGACCTGCCCTTCTTCGAAGGTTGCGTGCAGGATATACGTATCGGTACCAATCAGACCATTCTCCAGAGACCGATGATTCAAGAGAACGTCGGTGACGGTTGTCCCTCGGAATCCGAATGTAATTTGGATTGTCCGGAGGCATCTAAGTGCGTGACCAAGTGGCAATCCAGTGAATGTGTTTGCGCTGCTGGTCGTGTTGGACGCAATTGTGAACGTGTCTGCGATCTCGAACCCTGCAACGGCACTGGCACCTGCGTCGAAGACGTTACCGATGCGAAACGTGGTTACCGCTGCGATTGCAATTCGCCGGAGTATTCTGGCGACTACTGCGAGATTAAGGCTGATCAACCTTGTCCAGCTACTTGGTGGGGTTCACCTGTGTGTGGACCTTGTCACTGCGATGAGTCCAAGGGCTACGATCCGGCGTGCAACAAGACCACCGGAGAATGTTACTGCAAAGAGAATCACTACCAACCGTCTGGACTCAAGGAATGTATACCTTGTGAATGCTATACGACCGGCAGCTTCGGACCACGCTGCGACAGCGAGACCGGTCAATGTCGTTGCCGCACTGGGGTAATTGGCCGATCCTGCACGGACTGTCCGAATTCTTACGCCGAGGTGAGAAAGTAGAATAGAGTAATACTCCATCTGTTCTTCTTCCATTCTCGCAATGGAACAATAATATGTTTTATTTGCACATGAAATAATTTTTCTCCAATGAGACTGATGTTAATGTTTATGTGATACATCAGGTGACTCTGAGGGGCTGCGAAGTAGTCTACGACGGCTGTCCCAGATCATACTCGGACGGTCTCTGGTGGCCGAGGACTCCCTTTGGGATGACAGCCATTGAAGATTGTCCCGGCACTGCCGAGGGTAAAACTTCGAGATCGTGCGACGACAAGCTGGGCGGTTGGCAACCACCTGACCTCTTTAACTGCACATCCGAAGCGTTTGTCGAGCAACGACATCAACTGGCGGCTTTAGAGATCAAGGACCTTACGCTGAACACCTACGTAGCCGTGAAGATGGCAAAGGACGTTCACAGAGCAGTGAATATCACCAAAGAGATGTACGGTGCGGATCTTCTGGTGGCAGAATCCTTGTTAGTGGCACTGCTACGTTACGAAGAGAGTCTGGTGGGACTAAATCTCACTCACAGTCAAGATAAGGATTACGTTTCTCATCTGGTTGGCATAGCTGGAGCAATTCTAAGATCTAAGTATAAGGAAAAATGGGATAAGATCGGAGATCTTAACGGAGACAGTCCCGATAATGTGCTGGACGCTATGGCGACATATCTGAAGACTCTAACAGCGTCTCAACACGACACGTTCACCAATCCCTTCGAAGTAGTCGATGCTAACGTTGGTAAGTAATTTTTTTTTTCTCAACTTATCCATATTCCGTAAAATGATTAATAGTCTAAGAATTAATGCACATCAATGTTATGCTTCAGTGTTAGGCCTGGACGTGGTTACATCAGAAAGTCTCTTCGGTTACATGACCACCGAATACAAGGAGGATCCCACGTTGTCAACGGCGAGGCCTTCGGAAGTTGACCGAAAAGTCATTCTACCTGATACCTCTGCTTTCCTCAGCTCTCCAACGCACTTTGGTCCATCCGTCAGTTTCCCAAAGTACAACAATTATATGGCTGACCCCAGTAGATTCGATCCGCATTCGAAGATCCAAGTGCCTCTCAATACTTTGGGCATTAAACCTCTTATTCAGGGCGAGTTGAATGTGAAGAACAGTCTTACCAATCGGAAGGCTGTGTTAAGTTATGTGCAATATAAAGAACTTGGAAATCTCTTGCCGCAAAGGTGCGTAACATTTCTATTAGTATTAATCTTTCGATTTTTATTGAAAAAATCTACAAGATCTAACTAGTTGTCCCACTAACATTTTACATTGCAGATTCGACGATTCAGTGGCGGTTAGATGGGGCGTGGAAGTGGCAGTCGGTTCACCCGTGATGACCATTTCAGTGTTAGTACCTTCGGAAAATGGTTATGAGTCCTTGACAGGAATTCCTCTGCAGGCTCCGGTTCAAGTTCGACTTTGGCTGAACGAGAACGACGATTTCAAGACTAGGACAAATCCACAGTGCGTTCACTGGAGTACAGCGAGGGGGTAAGAAATCTTAAACAATTATATCGATTGAGAAAAAATATAATTGAAAAATTCATCTCGATTAACGACTGCGAATCTCAGAGTCGGCGAGTGGAGTCGAATGGGCTGCACCACGGAAATCGAAGAAAATTCCTTATCCTTCGGCACCATCGTGAACTGCTCCTGCATGCAATTGTCCACCTTCGCCGTACTGACAGATGTCCTCGACTTGGAGTACGTTCCAGAACCGTCCCTTCTGGAAGACGTAACTAGTTACAGTGCGTTCATGCTCGCCTTGCCGTTGTTACTATCCGCTCTATTGATCCTGGCGTTAATTCGCGGCGGAGGAACCAACTCGAACAGCATCCACAAGAACTTGGTCTTGTGCGTCCTCTTAGCGGAAACTTTGTACCTGATCGCGCTCAAAGCGAGAAATCCCCTCATCTCCAATGAGTTTCCTTGCAAGCTGACGGCGATAGGACTGCATTACTCGTGGCTGAGCACTTTCGCTTGGACTCTCGTCGACTCCGTTCACCTTTATCGGATGCTGACGGAAATGAGAGACGTCAATCATGGTCAGATGAGGTTTTACTACACCATGGGATACGGTCTGCCAGCTGTTATCGTCGGACTCACCATCGGTGTCAGGGCTGATCAGTACGGAAATTTCTACTTGTAAGTTGAAGAATTGGTCTTGAAATTAATTCATCTTAGTATTACTCTTGGTGAGCTGTTAAGCAGTTGCAAAAATAAAATTTAATACTATGAGATTTAATACACACACGACTGAATATATGTGCTTGATCTTCCAGTTGTTGGCTGTCGATCTACGAGACCGTGATTTGGTCCTTAATAGGACCGGTGTGCGCGGCCGTGTTGATAAACTTCTGCATTCTCATCATGTGTATTCGCGCAGCGTTTACTCTGAAGGAACACGTCATGGGCTTCGGTAATCTGCGAACGCTCCTGTGGCTATCCGTAGCGTCGTTACCCTTATTGGGCTCAACGTGGACCTTGGCGGTTCTCAACGCATCCGAGAACTCATCGACGCTATCGTACTTGCTGAGCGTTGCCATCGTGGTCCATGCGGCGTTTAGCCTGATCGGCTACTGCTTCATCAACGGCAGAGTGAGAAGAAACCTCTATCAGAGCCTGTTAAGGTGTATGGGCAAAAAGACGCCTCTGCTGGAAGGAAGTATGGGCAATGGAAGTAGCAGTCAAAACGTAAATGGCCACTCGGTAATTTATTTCTAGTGTTTTAGTATTAATCTTATTTCACATAATATATAAAATATGAGAGTTAATATTAAAAAATTGTATGTTAAATATATTTATATATTCAATATTAATCTCATTTTATATCCAATTCTAACTTATTGGATTTTGAGAAATGAGATTAAAAAGAGGAAGAAAATTCAAGCAAAAATTCAATACTGAAATGCTGATGATTGTGTCCAGCGTTCCGCTTTGGCTTATTCGTCAACCTACAGCGGAGCTGAATCCGTGTGCAGAAGAGTCCACGTCGGCGTCTCCACGAGTAGCACGACCTCGAGAAGTACAAATAAAACGGGCTCGAGCCCGTACCGTAGTGATACGCACTTAAGGCATACATCGACGTCCACTAGCAATTACAATAGCGATCGAGATCCATATCTGTCGTCGAGGAGTCATAGATCAGCGCTACAATCTCGACAAGGTATGTGTGCCTCTTGTGAACGCAACATTATCGAACGAGTTAATATTCGGTGAACACTGATTTTATTTATACAAGAACAAGTGAGAATTTGGAATTACACAGAATTATACGGAACAAGTGAGAATTACTTGTATTTTTTTAGATGATTTTCGAAGGCTGCACCTCTACTTTCTTTCTTCTTTCTTTCTTTCTCACTCACTCGTCATGTGTGTAACTGGTGATCAGCCTTAAGACCTGTCAGTCTCAATAAGACCTGTAGGATTTTCTCTAAGTTGTGAAACTAATTTTCTACGCGTGTAATATAATGTTATTTCTCTTTCTACACTATCAACATAGATATTGTTGTAGTTACAATACTAGTTTCAATAAAAATTTTTCAAAACTTAAGGCGAGTCTCGCAGATCTTATTCAGCTTGGCGGTCCTAAGACTGACTGCCAATCGCACAGCTAAGCGGCGTGACAATCAATGACTCAAAGAGTAAGCGAGAAAGCTATGTAAGAAAATAATCGGAGAATGCTCGATAATTGCCTTGAAAGTGTTATTCCGAGCTCTGAAATAAATGATTGTCATATATCAACATTCTCGACAGAATCTACGGAGCCGAGAGGTCAGCGCCGAGAATCGGAGTCAGACTCCGACGGTTCACAAGCCGAAGGAGGTGGCAGAAGCTTGGACCTTGCCAGCTCGCACAGCTCGGACGAGGACGATGTGACGTCAAGGTCGCACAGGAACATGGGCGTCTCTACTCAACAGCACGTCGCCCACAGCTACTTGCCCAACATCCACACCAATCCTGCCGAACACTTGAACATCCTTTGCTCAAACACCGAGTTATTCCCTAATATTAAGCCCATTTACGCTCCTCGATGGAGCTCCCAACTTCCGGAAGCGTACTTGTCGTCAAACGGTAAGACTAATAAGTTCGCTCGATAAATCGAATTAAGAGGAATGCAATGTTATAAAAATCAACAATAACTTTTTCTGTGTATGTATCGCAGTGATGGACGTGCGAGGCAGTCAATGGTCCGGTGGCACCATGTCGGACAACGAGATGGCTTCGAACAAGACGTCCAGTCCGAATCCACTGCCATATCCGGACATGAGTTCGCCACAGAAGAGCCAGCCGGATGAAAATTACTCAGAGGGTGAAGAGAAAGTACACCACTTGGGAGAAAAGTACCTGTTTCCATACACTGCCGAGGAGGACCACACAGTGTCACCCACCCCTTATATGTTGTCCATGTCCTCACGTATCCTGGCATCAAGCATGAGCCACCACTCACAAAACTCGAATCACGAGAATTTAAGCGGTTCCGAGCGCTATGGCAGCTTGAAGAGAGGCCAAAGTTTACATAGTTCTCAGCACGACAACCTCAGCGGATCCGAGAGGTATGGCAGTTTGAAACGTGGCGGCAAGATAACGCCTACAGTGTTGGAGGACACGCCAGAGTACATCCTGCCGATGAGCGGCAGGATACTGACTAGCTCGTTGACCCACGACTTGCAGCACAGCAACGAGTTAGCGGCGTTGAGGCAGCAACAGCAGCAGCAGCAGTATGAGCAGACTATCACCGAGACTGAGTGAGTATCACGGGTATCACAGAGAATTTATTCTTTCGCGAGTAGGAGGTGGCAGTCAATGGTTTAAATCGATTGATGTCAGGTAGTTGGGCTGGCGTGGGTTCTTATGTACGATGGATTTGATGCTGAAAAATTGAAAATTCTTGGAGTAATCTGTAGATAAATGAAGTCACATGATGTCGAATACGTTGATGAATTGTAAAAATAAAACACCACATCGTCACGTTTCAGTAAAAATAGAAACTTTTATATAAACGATTACCTTCGTGAAATGTGTTGTCCTGTTTGTTAAGATGTAAAGTAACTTACAAAAAGACAATACAAATACACATCATATCCAACGTATATAAAAGAGAAGCAGGCAGCAATTTGACACACACAATCTGCCCAAAAACTCTGCAGACTTTTTTTACCGGTATGTTGTGTAACAGATTGAGATATATCAGAAATTAATATCAACTTTTTGATAAAACTATGAATGAGAGATGAATCATGAATTTAACAAGTATAATCTTCCATAAAATGAAGAATGAAAAGGAAAGACTTCAAGAAAGCCAAAGCTATATTAATAGTATTTGTTACTTTTTTTTTAAATAAAAGAAATAACAACTGAAAAGTTTCAGAAATGTTTCCAGCAATAGAGAAAGTTCTAGAATAAGTGTATAGCTTTGCAAAGAGGGTATATTGAAGGTGATACATTAAAGGTAATAATGAAATTTCAAAGATTGTCTACGAACTTTTTGGACAGATACGCACACTTAAGACATAACAAAATAGCGCATATTTCGGTAACGCTTGTTAATTCATTCTGGTTTCTTTGGTTTTCCCGTTTTCCTTGCTGTACGCAAAAGGTGGTGTTGGAACATTCTAACATAACTGTATCTTTTCTGTGATCCGTGCTTGCACTGACGACTAAAACCATCAGCGAGGAGGTAAGCATGGTGACTCTGCGAAAATCGCTCTTAATCTAACTTAAATCGCGACAACTGTCTCTATTCGCCGATTCTGTCTATCTATTAGCTTACAGATCAGATTTGAATAATCGTAATCATCACTGTTTCAGGAAGGATACTAATGCGGAAACGTCCGTCTGACGAGCTCCGTGCCACAAACGAGAACAACGTACAAAGTAATTTAGCTTACACCTAGCTTAAGTGTCCACGCGCAATAAAGACTCGAACGATCATCGATATATATATATATATATATATATATATATATATATATATATATATATATATATATATATATATATATATATATATATATATATATATATATA